AGACAAAAGCTTGACACCTTCAGATTCAAATAATTCTTTTTTGAGGGCTTTGAAGGGAGGATAGAAGGTGTTAAGTTTGTATTTGTAAATGCAATCTTTCCTTAACCTGAATAAGCCCACCAAAAATCTTCAAATTTTATGATGAAACCCTTAGACAGATTTCAGTGAAGGAAGTGAAACTATGTGCATACATTTTGTGTGTTACAAAATGTTTATATGCAAATATAAATACTGTGTGTGTGTGGGGGGGGGGGCTTGTTTGAGGTAATGGAATGGAAATACTAATATGTCATAGTTGAATTATCTGAAACCTGAACTCTGTTTTATTTTGTTGTTGTTGTTTTTAAATTTTTTATTTTCTCAATAGGAAGTTGTGTAAGTATAGGCTCTTTGGTAGCTGGAGAAAACTCTTACAACTGCTGTGTCCTTTTCTCTTGGGAGTACATAAATAAATATTTAATGGTTCTCTTCTAGTACAGCACAAATGTTTGAAATATTAATTGGTTAGCCAATTGTGTGGTTATTGGTACCCTTCTATTGAGAATAATAATACCTGACTTTGGAATACCCTGCCTCATTTTGCTCCTGAAAATGCAAAGTTGGACTGATATCTAATGGAGCCATTTAAAATGTTTATAAACACAAAAAAGGTTAGCCATCTCTAGGGGTGTTCTCAAAATAAGTAATTTTGTTCTATTTACAATCTTGAAACATAGGCATACAGACTTGGAAATAACCTTTCCTGCTTTTTCATGCTAAAAATTTTCCCTCTTTTGAAGCACTAAGATGGATTAAGTGTTCTGAGAATTCAGTTTGAAGGAGACCACAGAGCTGGTGGCACTGGAAGGATGCTGTTGAGGGTGCATTCTCACTGTGACAGTAGTTAAAACTTCACTACTGTTTTAAGTTAGCAGGTGTGGGGATTTATTTTTACTACTTTCTCTATTAACCAGTGTTTCTCAATTAAGGGTGCACATTGGAATCACTTGTGGAAATTTTAAAACTCTTTACACCAGACCAATTAAATAATATTCTCCAGGGCTGGAATGTAGGAATAAGTATTTTTCACAGCCTTCCAGGAGGTTTTAATATGTAGTCAACATGAAGATCCCTGTGAAATTCAGATAAGCTACAGAGAATGTTAGCTATATAACACATCCTTATCAATTATAATTAACCAGTTGAGAATTCCTGGATGAAACTTAGTTCATTCTATTCAGTAGCAAATATGTGGGGGATACAAAGATAAATAAGATTGATTAAGTACTACTTAGGAAGATAGAAATTATAATATAAGGCATAGAAACTAGTGGATATTGTGAACACAGTAGGAACAATTGATTCTGTCAGAGGTTTGAGGTATGGAGTTGGGGGAAGCAAGGAGGAAAGATGAAATGAAAAATGGTCATAATTTCACAAAGAAAGTTATAAATTAAGAGTTTATCAGGTCAAAAAGGGGGGAGGAAGGGGTAGGTTTTTTTTAAGGATTATAATATACAAAGATGTGAAGAAATTAAGGAATATGTGTTTAGGGATTGGCTGGAGAGCAAGATGGCTATGAGATACTTGAGTCTTACAGCTAGAAATGTAGGTTGGAATCAGGTGGTGGAATGCTTTATAAACCATGCTGAGGAACATAAATGTTATTTTGCAATAATCTGGACAGCATAGACCTTGTTTAAATAAATAAAAAAAATTTAAGTTTTAAAACTAAATAAAACACAATACTCTTTAGGTCAAATATGCCTGTAAAACCCAACCTCCAAGGGCCTGTTGGTAGCCCCTTCAGTATAGGAATCCAGCATAGGATAATAAACAAGGAAAAGCTGTTAAGGTATGATAGTATTTTTATAAAAGTATAGAATTTAAGAGTTGAGGTTGAAGATGAGAACATAAGTGAAGAGGTTAGTGCGGTAATCTAAGTAGAATATTCCAGCAAACATCAATGCTATCAAACAAGATAGATATATTTGCTGGCTACTGAGTTCCTCTATGGTTAAACTGCCATCGTGGATATCTTCTTTGCTCCATCTGTCAACGTTGCTTTATTGCCCTCCATCCTTATTGTCATTGTCTTATTGTACTTTTCTGTGTGTTTAAGATAGTTTCTTGTTTTTTTTTTCATTTTCAAATTTTGTTTCTCCATTGGTAACGATTTCCTAGATTAAAAATTAATGTTCTGATGTTTCATAGACACTCATCTCTTTTGCCTGTAATTCAGCACTTTTGTAACTGGCCACCCTTCTCAGTGAAATTTTCTCTGGAAGACTCACCAAAGCAAGCCACTGGTTTTATCTTGCATTTTTGTCTTTAAAGCCTAACATTTGATGGGAACTAGGCTGTCTTGAATGGAAAAACATCCATCTTCTATTGAATTATACCATCTTGCTTATCATTACCATCAAAAACATTGTACATTTGTTTACATAGCTCCTTAGTTGAATACTTTCAATATTGATAACCTTCTTATTTTTTTGTGTATCTCATTTAGGCTCTACCACCTAAATGAACAAACATTAACATTTTGCCTTATTTATGTTGCTTCTTGTATACTCCTCCTTGTCCTATACATTGCAAACTCTTAGTTTTTGCATGTATATAAACATTTCTTAATGGTAGTTTAGCCAGACATAAAACTCTAGGGTGGCAGCTATTTTCCCTTAGCACTTCAAGTTTATTAGCTTCCTTGCTTTTTGGGGTCTGTTGTTGCTAAAGAGAAGTCTGCTGTTACAATTCACAATAGCTGGACTGTGGAACCAACCTAGATGCCCTTCAATAGATGAATGGATAAAAAAAAAATGTGGCATTTATACACAATGGAGTATTACTCTGCACTAAAAAATGTCAAAATCATGGAATTTGCAGGGAAATGGATGGCACTAGAGCAGATTATGCTAAGTGAAGCTAGCCAATCCCTAAAAAACAAATGCCAAATGTCATCTTTGATATAAGGAGAGCAACTAAGAACAGAGCAGGGAGGAAGAGCATGAGAAGATTAACATTAAACAGGGACGAGAGGTGGGAGGGAAAGGGAGAGAGAAGGGAAATTGCATGGAAATGGAAGGAGACCCTCATCGTTATACAAAATTACATATAAGAGGAGCTGAAGGGAAAAGGGGAAAAAAAACACAAGGGAGAGAAATGAAGTACAGTAGATGGGGTAGAGAGAGAAGATGGGAGGGGAGGGGAGGGGAGGGGGTATAGTAGAGGATAGGAAAGACAGCAGAATACAACAGACACTAGTATGTAAAAACGTGGATGTGTAACTGATGTGATTCTGCAATCTGTATATGGGGGGAAAATGGGAGTTCATAACCCACTTGAATCAAATGTATGAAATATGATATGTCAAGAGCTATGTAATGTTTTGAACAATTAATAAAAAAAAGAGAGAGAAGTCTGCTGTTAGTGCAATTATTCCTGTCAGTGCCTTTTATGATTTTTTTCCTTGACTCTTCTGTTCTGAACTTCAATTGGAATGTATACAGATGCAGTTTTGTTTTTACTTATCAATATATATTTTTTATCAAAGGATTCCTACCCCTACCTTTTTTCAAGTTTGGAATATACTTAAGCATTGCCTCTCCCCACTGCTCTAAGTTTCTAGAATTTCTATTAGGTGTATGTGCTTTTCACTTAATCCTCTGTGTCTTTTACCTTTTAAAGTATTTTTATCATTTTATTTCTTTGCTGTATTCTGAGTCGTTTTCTCATTAGTATTTTTTCATTGGACAGTACAGATTTTGTAGGAGGATAACAGTATAGATTTGTAGGAGGATCACTGGGTGAGAAGTTTAAGGCTGATATCCTTTTATATATGTGTATATCATATGTGTATGTATTTAATTAAATATAATAAGATGAAAAGTCCTCCCTGAAGGTAAGGGATTCCAAGATGAAATAAAAGGGACATAGAAAGTGGTAAAGGTCACCAAGATGAATATAATGTTCTATTTTTGATTAAGATAAAACTTTGGGCTGGGGATGTGGCTCAAGTGGTAGCGCGCTCGCCTGGCCTGCGTGCAGCCCGGGTTCGATCCTCAGCACCACATACAAAACAAAGATGTTGTGTCCGCCGAAAACTAAGAAATAAATATTAAAAATTCTCTCTCTCTCTCTCTCTCTCTTTAAAAAAAAAAAAAAAAGATAAAACTTTTTATTTTTTATTTTAGTGGTACTAGAGATGTTCCCAGGGCCTCACACATGCTAAGCAAGATGCTTTAGTTAAAGCTTTTAAAAGATGAAAATATAATTAAAGTAACTGAAAACTCAACATTTTCTGTAAGCCCAAAAGAGAACTTAGTTGTATTAACTAAAAATGTATTATTATTATTTTTACTTTATCCTAGGAGAAGGGTAAAAAGGAAGGAGGTCTGAGAAATAAAGACCTGAATTTTGGTCTTGGTTCTGCCAGAGGTTTTGATCAGTTAGGGTTTTTAAGCTTTTAAAATGTAGGTAATAATGTATACTTTGCCTATTTTTCAGTACTGGGTTGTTTGAATGGAGATAATTGAAATGATTATTAAAATGTTTTAAAAACTATAAGCATTGTTCATAAGATATGGAGATGAAAAAGTAGTGTAACCCATAGATTTAAATTATTTTGAAAGTGCCCTTTGTATGCTTATTTTTCTCTATAAAGGGGATAATGTGTTACAATTATGATACTAATTTTGGAGTAGATATGTAAGTAATCAATTCTAAATATTCTATTTACTTGGCTTTTCTCAATGAATTGCTAATGTATTTTTAGAAGAGCATGTGGATGAAATAGTAGTTAAATTAGATGTATTTTTAGAAGAGCATGTGGATGAAATAGTAGTTAAATTAGATTGCATCTGTATTTGACCCTTTATTTGAAGAGTCATTGTCCTGTATAATCGAAAGCAGATGACAACCTCCCCACCCCTTGGGAGAATTTTCCCTTTTAAAGACACCAAAGTAAAGTGTTAATTTGGTTTAGATAACTGAATATTTAAATTCTTTTTCCTCTTTGGCAGGCAACCAGATAAACTGGTGGTAGTTTGGACAAGAAGAAGTAGAAGGAAGTCTTCTAAGGTTAGTCTCTTTTCTAAATTTCTTGCCCAAATATTGAATTCAACTTTTAGTCAAAAATTTAAGCTTTTCTTGTCCTAGTTTAGAATATTTTAAAATATTACTTGGTCTTTTTTTTTTTTTTCTTATTAGCTAATCTACTAAAATAGATTGATTAGGCCCTGAAATCTTTTAACTGCAGTTTTAAAGTGGGGGCCAGATGCCTGAGGTTTTTTTTTTTTAACATTTATTTTATTTATTTATTTATATATGGTGCTGAGAATCGAACCCAGGGTCTCACACATACATGCTAGGCAAGCGCTCTACCACTGAGCCACAACCCCAGCCCCCCTGAGTTTTGATATTGAATTTGGTAGCTACTGTGGTTTGAATGTGTCCCCCTCCAAAATTCAGATGTTGCCTATCACATATTAGGTGGCGATAGCCTTACAAGGTGATCAGGCTATGAAGGCTTTCTCCCTCATGAATGGAATTAGGTTCCCTAGCTTAAAGGGAGGCAGTTCAATCCTTTTTGCCCATCTGCCTCATGCCATGTTAGGATTCAGTGAGAAAAGGCCCTCACTGGATTTTGACGTTTTGATCTTGGACCTCCTGGCTTCCACCATTATGACGAAATGAATGTTTGCTGTTTATAAATTATCCTGTTTATGGTATTTTGTTACAACAGCACAATGTGCTGAGACAGTAATAATCTTGAGCAACACAATGGTTATTTAAATTCTCTGTAAGTAAAGTGTTAAAAATTAATGATTAAACAGATATCACTTAAAGAATTGTATCTAGGATTAATTTTTTTCAGATCCCAAGAGGAGTTGGCTTTTCAAGATTTTAATTTTTTTGTACTGATAGTTTTGTATGTGGGGACTAGAAAAAAAATTTAAAGGCTGTTAGCAATTTTACAACTATTTAAACAATTCTATTTAGTAGATACATGTGAATATATTTTTATAGCTACATAATATCCATAGGAATAATTATCCATAGGAATGTTGTTTTTCCTATAGGTAGACCTATATAAAGAAAAATTATTAATTCTAATTGAAATTTAAAATTTTTAAAAATTTTTAATTTTTTACTAAGGGGTCTTTTCAAGTTTCTTTTATTTATTTATTTATTAGTTGTAGATAGACAGCATGCCTTTATTTTTATTTACTTATTTTTTTATGCGGTGCTAAGGATTAAACCCATATAATTGTTATGTCACTGAGCTACAGCCCCAGCCCCAAGTTTTATTTTTATTGAGCTAAATTTTACATGAGGTATAATGTACATATTTCAATTATATTTCAGTGAGTTTTGATCACTATGTATTTTTGTGTAATTACCACTCCTGTCAAGATACAGACTATTTTCATTATTCCTCTTCCAGTCAGTTCCCAACCCTGTCACCTTAGACTAACTGATTGTTTTTGAATTTTATGTAAAATAGTACAGAAGTCCTGTTTTATGTATGGTTTCTTTTGTTCAGTATAATGTTTTTGAGATTTATTTATGCTCTCATGTCTTTTAGCAGTTTATTTTTTATTGCCAAGTAGTATTCCATTATGTGAATATACTACAATTTATATATCTTTTACTCTGTTGATGAGTGTTTATTTTGTTTCAGTTTTTTTTCTTTCAGGAATATTGACTATTGTGAATAAAGCTGCTATGCACATTATTGTTCATTTTTTTTGGGGGGGGCAAATACCTAGTGATGTAATCCTGGGTAATAAAATAGGATTGTTTTTAAGAAATTGCCAAGCACTCCCAACAACAATACAGAAGTTTAAGATGGTTTACATCATGAGCAGCATTTTCTTTACAGCATACATTTACAGTTTGGCGGTATTATAATTTAGATACTGTATCTATTTACCTATGAGAAAGGGGTCTAAAAATAGACACAGGGTCTTCTGTATGTCAGATTGCTGACTGGGTCTTAAGCTTTTGTGGAAAGGACTAGAATGTTATCCAGTAAATATAATAGATGAATATGATTATATCTCTAAACTTCAGAAGTAGACCTTACATGTTTTTAGCTACAAACAGAAAACAATTTCTCCCTTTTCATAATAAGGTAGCAAATATTTTCCAAAAGAAAATTATGGAACATAATGAAATACTTTAGATTATAGGTTAATCACAAATTCTCATATCTGATGTTAAGTGTACTTTTAAAAATTTATTTACATTTTTGGAGTGATTCAAATAAATTTTCCATTTGATCTAGATTCTTTTTCATATTGTATCAAATATTGTTTTAATTTAGATCACAAAATACAACATATGAGGCTACAGGTTGATTTTTCTCAGAATGTAATATTTTCTAGAAGAAATTTCTTCTTGTTGGCCTCATTTTCTAGGTGTAACGCTCTTAATGTTTCAAAACCATCCTGTATATGACCAGCCTTCCTTATCCATGGGTCCACATTTGTAGATTGAACCAACTGTTTATTGAAAATATTTGAGAAAAGCAGTTATGATTGTAGTGAGCATGTGTGGATTTTTTTCTTATCATTATTGCCTCAACAGTATAGAACAACAACTACTTATGTAGCATTTACATTGGTAATCTGGAGATGATTTAAAATATATGATAAGACATGCATAGGTAATAATTAAGCATCTGTGGATTTTGATATCCAAGGAGGGTCCTGGAACCCAATCACTCTTTTGTATATCAAGGGATGACTGACTACTTTAGAATCACAGTCATCGCGTTTTCTTAAAATACTGCAAATGTACTCTTTTGGAAAAGTTTATGACAACTGATGATGTGTTGAGCTTATCACAACATATACAATAGTATATTCAAGTATCTGTGAAAATGTTATTTTATAAATCAGATGTAATAGCTAAATAAAGAAATAAAAATTAGTTCCAGAAACTATGACGTGATTATGACATTTAAAAGTGCTTAAAATAACTTTTGGAAAAAAAAATCTTGAGAAACTTGAGATCCTTGACATTTTATAATTTTTCAAAAAATATGTTTTTAGTTGTAGATTGACACAATGATGATGATGATGATGATGATGATGATGATGATGATAATTTATTTACTTATTTATTTTTTTATGTTGTGCCAAGGATCAAACTCAGTATCTCACACATGCTAGGCAAGTGCTCTACTAGTGAGCCATAATCCCAGCCTGACATTTTGAAATTCTTGGGGGAAAAAAAAAGCTTGTCCCCACCAGGTTTTCTAAATTTAGCTATCAGTTATATTAAGTATAAAGACTAGAATTTTTTTTTTTTTTCCTGAAAGACTCTTCTGATGCTTTTCCTTTAAAGTATACATTATTTGCTTCTACGTGCCTTTGAAATCACTTAGGGGCACAGATCACTGCAAGCATTGGCCAAAAAACGTTCTAGTTTTTACTTTTAATATGTTGAAAAGAGTTTGAGCTACAAAGTAATCTTTTTGTTTCTGTTGTCTCTTTATGTATCTTTTTTTAGTCTTATCTCTATATATCTGTAAATATATATTGTAAATGTTTGTATGTACTTTCATTTATGAATACGTATGTACACCAGTTTTTTTATGGCATTGCTATCTTTTATTTCCTTGCTCTGTGGTTGTGCTACAGCCTTTAAATATGCATCCTTCCATGTCAAGAGGAAGGTGTATACCTTCACTTTGCTTAATAGCAGTGATATTGGCAACACTAGGATGACTTTATGTGTGACATCTTAAACATATGGGTATATGCAGTTTTAAAAATAAAAAATTATTGACTTAAGCATATGGCAATTGTAAATTTTTAGTGAAATATTTTTATTTTTCAGGAATCAGAAATAACGAGTGCTTATTAGTTGTATTTATTTTCATACTAGGTACACAATCTTTTTTTAAAAAATAATTTTTGTAGTTGTCAATGGACAGAATGCCTTTATTTTATTTGTTAATTGTTGTGTGGTGCTGAGGATCAAACCCAGTGCCTCATGCATGGTAGGCAAGTGCTTTGCCACTGAGTTACAGCCCCAGACCAAGGTACCAGTCTTTTAGGTAAGGCAAGGCATGAAATAATTAGAAAGTAAGGCATTTTTATAAAGTCAGTACCTCAAATTGAGAAATGTTGCATTTTTCCCTACACCTTTTTTTTGGTAGATGCCAAAGAATCTGTGATGTGATCTAAAAAAATGAGAAAAACTTTACAGAGGGACCTGGGTAACATGTTCTAATGTCTTATCTGCATTAGAATTTTGGCAAATGATTAAATAACCTCACTTTCCTAACTTATAGTAGGAGATAAATAATTGGACATGTGTTTATGTGTGTAATTCTTTTCTAGAGAAATCCTTTCTGTTACTCTGAATGAAAACTAATCAGGCTTCTTATAGTGCTGATATTTACCAGTGATGTGCTTTTTCTATATCAGTCTCTTAAGAACCTAAATTAAAGGTTGGTACAATTAGATGTTTATTACCAGAGCTAGTTTGAGTTACCTGTATTAAACTTCGTTATCTAGCTTCAGGCTCTTGAAACACTGCTGTTTGAGGTAGACATTGTATTAAGTTCTTAGGAAAATATGAAAACCATTTTTTTTTCATGTTTGTCACTTTTTGTTAATCTTGATTTCTTCTCTAGTATACTTTCCTGGTCCTCTTATTTTTCTAAATAGTATATAATAATTAAGTGATGATATAACACTGGCACTGAACACACTCATTGTCAGCTACATAGCTAAGGTAGTTGATATTGTTAGTATCTTAACTCAGGTTTACAGGCCCCAAAGGAATATCAGAAAGACAGAGAAGTAACTTAGTTGGACCTTTTTCTGGGTCGAGAGATACTGATAGAAAGGTAAGAAAAGTGGCAACTTATTTTCAACTCAGGAACTAGCATATTTCTATTTTATTTTATTTAAAAAAAGATTTTTGTTGGTAAGCAGATTGTATTTTTGTTTGCTCAACAATCTATCATTTCCTGATCCAAGACTGATATTTGAAAAGACATCATTTAGAGGACCAGACTTTAGGATTCATGAGGAAATCATTTGAAACTACCATCTCCTAACTGCACAGTTGTTAGGAGGATTCTACATTTCCTGCTTTTCCCATTTTGTTATTGTGTCATACACAGAAATTTTGTTTTTAGAGATAAAAGACTGTTTTGTTGACTACTGCCTGAATCAGTGATAGAACTGAACATGAATGATATGGGTTGGGTAAAGAACTTGGAATCATGGAATGTGGATTCTTCTACTAATTACTAGTTATCTGTTCAGGCAAGCCATTTACTCTTTGTTTGCTTTAGTTTCCTTGTCCAGACCTAAATTAGGTCTAAGGACCTTTTTGTTTAAAACTTTTTGATGGTAACTTTTTTCCCCCCCATTGAGAATGTTACAAATATTCCATTCTTTCTGCTGTGGCTGAGAAAAGTTCAGTCTATACTCTTTTTTATGTTTCTGTTGTATAGGGAGGCTATGAAAATATAATTATAGGGACCTTCTAGCTATCAGTAGGCATGGAAATAGGGGACTAGAGGAATCTCTGCAGAAGATATTTTTTAATCAACAAAATTTAGTTCTTTACCTTTGACTATAATGTGCTAAGTTTCTTATGGTGAGTCTTTACTTTCTTCTTCTTACGTGATGTTTTGTAATGGGGACAATGGAGAGTGAAGAGAAGGAGAATTATTGAAAATCTGTGAGTTGGATTTGGGGTACACTTTAAACCTATATCATCTGTCATTTTAACTAATAAAATTTGATAATATTGGCATGGATATAAGATTCCATGATCTTTATCCGTTTTCATTTCCATGGCCTGCGTTCAAATTCAAATTTTGCCTACTTACATGTTGTGAGATTTGGGCAGATCTGTGCCTTAAGTTTCCTCATCTGTGACATCTGTGCTCTGACATGCACGTGCATTCATGTTTTCTGAACTTCTTTTCTTTGATTATGGAAAAATGGGCTTCCAAAAAAGGCAGCTGCTTCGCTGTTTACTGTTAAGGACAATACTCCAGCAATTCTCTCTTCCACATCATTAAGTTTTCCCTCTCTACTAGATATTTCCCATTAGCTTCAGAATGTTTTTCTCCTCTTAAAAAAATTATCTTCTGTTACTGTTTCTCCCTCTAGCACTAACCTTTTTTTTTTTTTTCCTTTTTTTCTTTCCCTTCAGCAAAACACTTCAGAAGAGTTGAATGTATTTTCTGTCTTTAATTTCTTTCCTCCTATTCTTCCTTGATTTTATTATCAGGCTTTTGCTCTCAGCACTACAATGGCACTGCTCTTATAAAGTTAATGTTTCTGCTTTGTAAAATCTGGGGTCGTTATCAGACCTTATCCTATTCGACCTATCATTAACTTTTGGCACTGGTAACATTCCTCCTGGTTTTTCTTCTACTTCAGCGATACAGCTCTGCTGATTCCTATCATTTCTTTGACTTGTTAATGTGTTCCAAGGCTCAGTCCCTGGACCTTTATATTCTTTATTTGTATTCAATCCCTTGTGATCATAACCACTCTTAAGCTCAAAGTATCACCTATGTGCTCTTAATTCCCAAATTTGGGGAACTCTAGAATCATATATTCAAGCTGCCTGTTTGAATGTTCACACTTATGTATCTAAAAGGCAACTCAGATTTAATGTGTGTAAAACAGCTCATCTGAACTTATTTGCCAAACCTATCCTTCCCACAGTCTCATATTCACTAATAACAATTTCTTTCTTCTAGTGTTCAAGGACAAAGTCTTTGGAATTAGTCACAGCCAAATCACCATCAGTTCTCCCCTTCCTTTTTTTTTTTTTTGGTACTGGGGATTGAGACTCCAGGAACCCAGGAACACTTTACCACTGAGCCACATCCCAGCTCCTAATTGAATGATTTATTGATTGATTGTCAGAGTCTTGCTAAATTGCTGGGTTGGCATCCAACTTGTGAACCTTTTGCCTCAGTCTCCTGAATTGCTGGTTTCCTTTTTTTTTTAATATTTTATTTTTTAATTGTAGTTGGACACAATATCTTTAATTATTTTATTTTTATGTGGTGCTGAGGATTGAACCCAGGGCCTCGCTCATGCTAGACGAGGGCTCTATTGCTGAGCCAGCAACCCTATCCCTGAATTGCTGGTTTTCCAATAATGTGTCACCATGCCTGGCCTGCAGCACCTTCTTCCTTTTTTTGCAGTAGCAAAATTGGTCTTAGCTCTTTCCTCTCCATGTCTGCGGTTTATTCTGGACAAATTAACCAAAATGAATTTGTTGAAACATAATTTAGATAATAATTTCTCACTTAAAAACTTCCAGTGACTTTTTATTTGGTGCAAAGTACAAACCTATAACTTTGTAATGGCCTACCAGGGCTTTATGTGATTGGGTCCTCCATTTCTTCTCTGGCCTCATCTCCTGCTTCTCTCCTCTTGATCACTCTGCTCCAGCCACATTGTCCTTGTTTTTTATTAAGTGCCTCGGTGTTAGTTGCTGGGTTTTTTTCCCCCTAGAAAGCTCTTCTCATGTCCAGTTTCTTACAGGTTTACCTCAAGTGTTACCATCTCAGTGAAACCGACTACTGCTGTTGAAGTATTACGTCTCTTCCTCTCCTCTATCCTTCTTCGCTACTGTGTTTTCTCCTTACCACTTAACTTCCATCTAATATACTGTATATTTTACTTGTCCATCTCTTCCCATTTATACCATAAACTTCACCAAGGTAGGTGCTTTTTCACTACACCTGTGCCTAGAACAGCGCTTGGCAAATAGTATCAATTGGCAAATAGTATCAAGTGAATGAATGAATCAATAGTAGCTATCTCATAGCCACTATTAATTTAATTATGTTAAACTCATTGTCAGAACATGCACTAAAACATAGAAAGTACTCTGTGTTACCCTTTACTACCTTCATAATATACTCATGGATGGTCCTGCAGCCTATAGAGATGAAGACTTGGTTGAGATATCTTGGCTTGCCTTCTTCTAACAGCTCACCTTTACCACAAAGGAAGAACTATGGTGATGAACTCACCTGAAAGTTTGGGGGGTTGGAGGTTCCTTAGGATACCTTGGTAATCAAGACTTATAAGGGGGAAAATAATCCCCTAAATTTTAAGTATTAGAATATTAGAAATATTGCCTGGAAAAATTGCTGTTTTCTTTTACTTACCCCAATGGATAAACATTGTAGTTTAGTGGAAAATGAACTTAAATACAAAGCACACAGCTATGTTTTTCCATTTTTCTTTTTCTTTCAATACAGAGTCTCACTGTGTTGCTCACACTGGTATTGAACTTTTGGGCTCAAGTGATCCTCCACCTCAGCCCTGCTGAGTAGTTAGGACTATCAGTGTGCACCACTACACCTGATTAGTATTTTTTCTTTCAAAAAATGTCTTAAAGTTCTTAGTCAAAAAAATATTTTTCCTAATAAAAGTTCTATCTAATTAGAAATGATAGCTTTTGAATATATGAGAGCTCGGTGCTGTGGCACATGCCTGTAATCCCAGCTACTAAGGAGGCTGAGGCAGGAAAATTGTATGTTTGAGGCCTGCCTCAGCAATTTAGTGAGACCCTGTTTCAAAATAAAAAAATAAAATAAAATAAGGCCTGGAAGTGTTGTTCAGTGGTAAAGTTCTCGTGGGTTTAATCCCCAGTATGAAGGATTTTTACATCTTTGTTTTTTCAGTGTGTGTATATATGGGGATGAAGTTTCTTTATAGATAGTAGTCTATAACTCTCATGTGATATGATTTGTTCTGGCCCAGCTTTATGCTTGAAAGTTTTTATTTTACTAATCATGTTTACTAATCATATTTCAGAGAGACTATAGATCTAATGAATGACTAAATAAAGTCAATAAACTCATGTAAATTATTAACATTGTATTTTCTGTACCTCATATTGATAGGCTCATAGCTGGCAACCTGGAATAAAGAATCCATACCGTGGTGTTGTTGTATGGCCTGTTCCTGAAAACATTGAAATCACTGTAACACTTTTTAAGGTAAGTTCTATTATTATAAGTTATAAAATGTATTAAATACCCATGGTTCTAAATGAGAGAACATTTCATTATTTATTGTTTCATACATTTATATCCAATCTGGTATCTAATGTACACTATTTTTAGGAATATAGGAATTTACTATGATGTAAAGCATCACAGTATTTTACAGTCTATGAAGTCTGAATAATTCAGGGATCATTTTGAAGTTACTGTTAATATTAGCTGAGATACTTCTTTTACCACTTCCTACATTCAATCCATAGGAATCTTTAAAGCACTTTTCCTGTGAAAAGCTAAAGTTTATAGAATACTTAGATTTGTCCCTTATTTCGTTAGTCTCTTTTAAAAAAATATTTATTTTTCAGTTGTAGTTGGACACAATACCTTTATTTTATTTATTTTTATGTGGTGTTGAGGATCGAACCCAGGGCCTCTCAAGTGCTAGGGAAGCACTCTACCACTGAGCCCCAGCCCCAGCCCCAGCCCTTGTTAGTCTTTTTTAATAATGAGTTGTTTAAAATTAGTTTTCAATAAGCATTTTACTAATGTCAATGTAATAAGACATGTTTATAATCAATATTTGGCAAATATTAATTGATATTAATATTTATGAGTGTAATACCAGCAAATTCTGGTTATACATTCAAAGCATATATTAAAAAATGTAACTGTTCATGTACATTTCTTCTTGTTTTGTATGTATTTTTTTCTTGAAAATCTTCCATATTTTTTGAAACTTTATAATTCTCTTCACACGTATGTTAATCAAGCACTGGAGTATTTACTTTCCTAACCAACTCTTTACCAGCTCCTAAAAAATGGTGGGACAAGTATGTTCAAATTTTAGCTATTTTTGGAGGATGGTGGAATTAGAAAATAAAAGCTTTATTTCTTCTCTGAATGATTCAGATTAGGAAGTTACTTTTCCAGAAGGACAAGAGAGAAGAGGGCATCTCATTAAGTGTAATTTAGTATTATGAAGTTTGTGAAAATCCATTAAGTATTTTAGGACATGAAATTAAAGTAAAGCAAAGTGAAATTAGAACTGAGTGTGAAATCACTGTGTTTTAAAAAGTGCTTTTGTTTTTGTGATCCAAAATATTAATGCACTTCAGTATTCAGAAAGTACTGTTGAGATCAGTAGGAAAAAATCCAATAAGATGAATGTTAATGCACTGGTCCATAGATGAAGTATTATTTTTTAAAAAACATTTTTATTTTCAGATGGACATAACAACTTTATTTATTTTATTTATTTATTTTTTTATGTGGTGTTGAGTATTGAACCCAGTCTTGAACTCATACTTGCTAGGTAGACACTCTACCACTGAGTCACAAACCAAGCCCTAAAGTATTATTTTTAAATGCTCTGTATTTCATACTGTTTTACAAAAGATTCTTAACATATGTATTTTTTAATTTTGATGTTACTGTTACTGACATCGAAACGTTAGTTGATTGTATTTGTCATCTCTCTCTTTCACAAATGCGCGCGCGCACTCACACACCTTCTCTCTGATTTGATCAGGGATAAATAAGGAGTGAAACACAGTAGCAGCTCTTCTTTTCCAGGATGGTCAGACTACCCTATTGCCCTTTTACCAGATACCCTATAAGCCTGTTTATTAAACCCTCTTCTGCATAATTCTTCTATGGGAATTAATGTGCTAAGCTGGTTGGTTAAGAGCAGTACGTTCAGAGTCTCTACATGTATTATTTAATTCTCAAAACAACCCTAAGATTTTATCATTATTACCATTTTAATGATAAGGAAACAGACTAGAAAGGAAGGTAACTTGCTCAAATATCCCATTAGTCCTATTCTTTCCTCTTTGCCTACTTTTTATTCACAAGTTATGAATATTGACTAGACAGCAAGATGTGACATTCTTAAAGAAGACTTTTGAGTACTTTCTTAAATATGTTAATTTAGTCTTTTTTTTCATATTGGTAAGGCAAATGAGTGGACTTAGTTTTATAACTTTTAAAAAATGGTGATAAAGAACAAGGGGTTAGAATGGAGCTGGTAAATAGCTGACGGCCATATGTTTGGGATAAAAATATACACTGACTGATTTTGAGCTGAAAATGACTGTTGAAATGACTGTTGCTTGGAGTATTGGGAGTTAGTGTAGTTTTTGAGTAGTGATGAGAATGTTCCCTATGTCCTTGAGATCACTGAACTGAAGCCTTTGGTGTTAGAATATAGGAGGAAAAACAAAACATCTCTTCCTTTCCAGTTTGCTGTATTCAGCATTTCTTGTCACTTGTACTAATGGAGCAACCTTGTGACCATTTTCAATATTTAAATGAATTTTCAACTGAATTTTTATCTTCCTGGGTCTCCCATGCCCTCAGAAATTCTAATAGAAAAGTGAAAAGTACAGAGCAAAATGAAACAACTTCAAACTTTCATGGCAACTTTTGGATCTTGTTTTTGAGCAGTATTTAAAAATAATTCAAGTGAAAAAAATTATATTTTTTCCTTTCTTATACTAAATAATGTAGTTTATTCAGTCTTGAAATTTGCAATTAGCTTCAGTAGAGTATTCACAGAGGTATTCTCACAGAGAGATGCTTTTTAAGAAAGTTGTCCATATATTTCATTTTTTGGTGACTTATCCTTTTTTTTTTTTTTGCGGCTGGGTTTTGAACCCAGGACCTCATGCATGATAGACCAGTGCTTTATCAGCCCAATAACTTTTCTGATTTAACTAGAAGTTAATTTCTTTAGACTAGTACCTGTTTTTGAAATTTGAATTAAGTTGAAAATAGCTGTTTCTAGTAAATTTTTTAAAAATGCCTTTTAGGATTTTAAGAAGGAAAATGGCAAATCTTCAAGTCATTTCAGTTTTTCTCTTTAGAGTACTAGGACGAAAGGAAACAATGGTGAGAGAATAGGATATAAATCTTCATTGATTCAAACCAGAAGTCATTCTCATTTATGTTTTTGTCTGGTCAGTAATATAAAGAGTTAATTATATAAAAATGCCATTTTTAAGTCCCTTAAAAATGAACATTATTGTTCTTTCACATCTTTTTACTAACTCTACCCTATCAGATGTTTCTTGGTCTATTGAAATTATTCCTTAGTAAAAATTCTTTTAGAGGCAATACATCATCTGTGTTTTAGAAACAATGTTTATCTACTTTAAGAAGTTAAGTATTTCTTAGAATATATAGGGTACTGTTAAATCTTTGTTAAGTTTTGAGACATACATCTATTAATTCATATATCAAGTATTCTTGAGAGCCTGCTGTGTGCCAGATAACATTCTTGGTCCTGGTGACACAGTGGTTAAATTGAAAGTAGATTAAAGTCAGACAGACTTGGTATTGCATCATAATGCTTCAGTGTTTACTTGTGTACCATGAGAAATTTTCTCTTAGATTTCAGTTTTCTATTCTGTTAAATGGGAGTGAAAATAGTACGTATGTCAAAACTTACTGTGATGAGTAAGGCACTTAACACAATGACTAGAATATGGTGAGCGCTCAATACATATTTTGTATTACTATTATTTTGATACTAATTATGCTAGAGCTATGCTGTTTTCCTTAAAAAAATAAGACAGGTTGGGAGGATAATAGGCTGTTCTCTAAATTAGCATTATTTATGTCTTAAATCCATTATGAAAAACTCCTTCAATCTTTATTTATAGTCATTGTTCTCCATAAACCTAGTTCATGGGCAGAAGCAGCTAGGGAAACCAGTATCAATTGTTCAGTTTCCCTTTCTCTTCTACACTGTCCTGACCTTCCCTTGTCTAGCACCACCAAAGAAATTTCTTGTATCAGGTTTTTAACCCACCTGGGTGGATTTATTTCATTCATCATCTATAAGTATTTAGATTAAAGTTATTGTGTTTGTCTTTGGAAGCAAGAACAATTATGTTTAAACCCATGTAACACCTTTACAAACTCTTAGGTAATAAGTACTTAATAAATGTTTGTCAAATAAATGCCTGCAAAAGTGTGCCGTATTAAAAAAAAAAAAGATTGCATTTCTCATGTTTCTGGGCATTTCCAGGGTTAATGGGGAGAAATGGTAGGAGGGTATCAATATCCCCATGCTGATTCACCATTTTGTCTGGATTATGAGTTGCGTGTAGTGTTTAGGAGTTCTAGATATGTATAAAACCTCTACACTGAAGAACACCTTGTTTGGAGTGGTACTTTTGGTTTAAAGTACTTTATGGATAAAACTGAGGGCAGAGATTTGTATGAGCATTTAATAACCCTAATGAATTATCTGTCTCCAATCAGGTTTCTTTTTGTCTTGCCATAGATGAAATGATGGAAAATAGTGATATGTATCAATAAAAGTAAAATATAGAACTTCATAATATAAAACAATGGACTTAAACTTAGAGTAATTATGAAAGTATCATAAGGGTAAGAGGCTATTTTGCTTCTTCCTTTCTTAAATTTTTTTTTAGTTATGGACACAGTATCTTTATTTTGTTTATTTATTTTTATGTGGTGCTAAGGATTGAACCCAGTGCCTCACATGTACGAGGCAAGTGCTCTGCCACTGAGCCACAATCCCAACCCTTTACTTCTCCCTTTTAGTAAAAGATAAAAACAAAGTTGTATGTAATTTCTTAATTGAATTGATTTGACTAAAGACATGTATTTCAATTTCATATTTTGTCTTTGTTACAGGATCCTCATGCAGAGGAATTTGAAGACAAAGAGTGGACATTTGTCATAGAAAATGTAAGCTAATAGCAAATTCCTTCACCTTTCATGTTTTTTACTTTATATATACATTATTCAGGTCCATGATTGTTTTGACAGTAGGAGAAGTGTTTCCTTATGAAAATTAACTAGCAATTTGCAGACTTTAGAAGTTTTTAATGAAATGATAATAGCAGAATTATTTGAAAGAAATGCTTTTGTTAAAGCTTAAATTATGTGTAATATTTTATGTATTTTGTTTGAGACTTGATGGCAAAATTATGTCTCAGTTATTTATCTTTTTGTCTGTTTAACATCATAACAGGTACTCAATATAAACATTTATTGAATGAAATCATCAATTACCTTTGAAATCTTTCAAGGAAGTGTGTATCCAGTATGATAGTGCACACATGTGATCTCATTGATTTGGGATACTGAGGTAGGAGGATTGCAAGTTCAAGGCCAGGCCTCAGCAACTTACTGAGACCCTGTCTCAAAATAAAAAATTAAAAGGACCGGCGTTATAACTCAGTGATAAAGCACCCCGGGTTTAATTCCCAATAACACTCCCCTCCAAAAAAAGTACATGCTTTAACTCTTGGGATTGAAAAACTCAAATAAATCAGTACTTTAATAATCATCTGAAATTAATTTACATATTCCAGAGTCCCAAGTAGGTATAGTAAGTATTCAATAAATGCTTATTGACTAAGATTAAAGACAGGTAATGAAAATACAGAGTTTAAGAATAAAGGCTCTGAAGTCAGGGAGACATGATTTCAAATTCTAGTTCTTCCAGTGACAAACTCTGTGATAATGGGCAAGTTTTCTCAACCAGAAAATAATAGGGTTTTTATGAGAATTAAATAATTCTCCACAAATATTAGTTTTTATCATTGTTGTCACCATCATCTAAAATATATTTATAATAAACTTATAACATGTTTTGCATTATATTCTTCCTGTCTTTATCTAATTTGTATTTCAGTGGTAAAGGAATCTTGTACTTTTGCAACAGTGCCTGTGCCATTTTTAAGCCTAAAGAGCAGGGAAGATTAGGGGCCCAGTAGGTCCAAATATACTAGGGGAGTTCTGATGACTGTATTCCAAGCCACTGTCAATCATGTTAAGGTTTCACATCTTAACAATTTTGGCTTTTTTTCTAAAAAAAATATTTTTAGTTGCAGATGGACCCAAGAAATCTATTTATTTATTTATTTTTACGTGGTTCTGAGGATTGAACCCAGTGCCTCATGTGTGCTAGGCAAGTGCCCTACCACTGAGCCACTACCCCAGCCAAATTTGGTCTTTTTCACAGTGATAGATTTGAGCATCATACTTGAAGTATTTTTGTTAATTCTATCTATTAAAGGAAGTCTTAAAAGGGCTTGGGATGTAGCTGGGGTGTAACGCACAGTAGTAGAGAGCTTGTGTGAGGTCCTGCGTTCAGTCCTCAGTACCACCACTACCACAATAACAAAAATTAGCAGTTAAATTTGACTTGTAATTAATGACAAAGATATACAAAAACTAATTTTGTATTTGTTTAGAATGGTGTTCTTATTACACAATTAATCTTACATTAAAGACACAGTGGTTCCAAATTTTTGAATAACAGGTTATAATTAGTTAATGTACAAAAGATATAAAAAGTTCTTTGATATATATTAGGTTTGACTGCAAAAGAAATTCAAGTCTGGAATTTTGGGAAAAATAACCTTCATAAATTCTGTATAATGCATTTTATAAAGGTATGTTAAAGATCAATATGGACATATTAAGCTTAAAGTAAAATGGTGAAATTTAAATGGGTTTAAGATAAAGAAGTATGTTTTGGATTATCCTTTCCATATTGGAATTATGTGGTTTGGAAGTAAAAGAGCAATGAAAAGTCAGAAACTTATTTTGCACATTTGCCTACTTATTACTCAAATGGTTGAAGTTGCTAGGATCAGACATTGGGTAAGGAAATAAATATAGGAGGAAAATGAAAAAGAAAATGTCAGAATTCCATCTCTATAAATATTTATTAATACATTGATTCACAAAATATAATAATATAAATGGCTTTTAACTATATAGTTCACATTATAAAACCAATGTTTTAATTGAGATATTACAAGAAATTAAGTTTTACTACATAATGAGATAACTATGAAAACTTTACTGGGAATGATGTGGTTGAGAGAACACTGTGTTTCTAGTTTCCCAGCTGTCATTCTGCTTTTCAGTATTTCTGCTTCCTTGTTTTCTTTTTGCTTTCACATATTCTTGGTTTTTTTTTTTCTTTTTGCAGGGGTGGGGGTAGGGAGCATTTTTTCTTTCTCTCATTTCATAGTTTAGTGAAAGAAGGAGCTTTGAATTGGTTTAGAATTTAGTATAGACCCTGATTGTTGTATCTTCAAAACTGGTGACCTTGAGTATGTTATTCTTTAGAATTTAATTTCTTCATCTATAAAACTAAGGATTTCTACTAGATAATCTTAGATGGCTTTTCTAAATCTGTGACTTTGTTTTAATTGATAGAAATATTTTTATAAACTATTTGAAAATTAAATTTTGGAGGTCAAAATTTTGATGTTCAAGTTCATGGAGAATGTAATATCTAGGATAGCATTTTTTAACCAATTAATAACTTCCTAATTTTAATCTTTAAATAGTCCATATCAGCATTTATTTTTTCTATGTATTTTTATTTCTGAAGTGGATTTGAGTATTGTTGAAAATTTCTTTTTTTGAATTCTTTGACATAACAATTATTTTTCTATATCTTGTTTCTGTAATAGTTATTTCCTGTGCAAGATTGGAAAAGAAGAAAAAAGAAAATTGAATTTTGATTAGTTTTTCATTTAAAGGAAGTTATTAGACTTTCTAGTAGAAGCTTTATTTCTCAATTATGAGTATCAAAGAAAATAATATCCATCTTTTAAGATCTTCTTGTGATCCAAACCCATGGGAATTTAAATACATAATGAGACACTATTAACTATAAGGTACTATGATAAAACAATGATGATGATGATGATGACTTTATTAAAAAGTAAAATTAATGAATATGGGTGGGGCAGGTGATTCCTCAGCCTTTTAATAATGATGACAACACTAGTGTTTAGTAGGAGCCTCATATAAGAAGATAGTTTTATTAGGTAGCTTTCTTATAATTTTATTTTATTTTTTGGTTATACTTATCTTTAAGCAGGGTAAATATACAGCAGGTTTTTTTTTTTATTTTGCTTTAATTCTTTAAACATTATAGGGTTTGACTATTTTACCAACAGAACAAGCTTGTTTTTTTTTCCCAATGTTAAGTAGAAAAAGGTGAGAGTAGTAAGTGCATCCATTATTCAATTTACTTTCATTATATAAAGTTACCAGAATTTAGAAGTACTATGAAATTACTGAACTCTTTATATATGAGAAAAAGCATGAATGTACATGTGACTGAAGTATTTTAAATATATTAACTCAAGAGAATACACTAATTTACATGCCCTAAATTAGAATTACTATCATAAATTGTGAACACTCTAATGTCAAAGGATGAATTTGTGTAACTGAACTAAAACAAAACAAAATAAGGGAAGTGTACTGTATTCTTACCTGGAAGATAGGCTAGAATTGGGCCAATCTCTTCCTTTTGTTTTCAGGAGGACCTTAATTTCTTTGTGCTGGGACTAACTCCTCTACAGCGAGAAGCATATGTGGATTTTGAGAATTTATGTTTTTCTTTACCTATCAAAGTGTCTTTAAATCAAAATCTAGGTCATTTTCTGAGATGCTGATAGGACTCCTGCCTGGATAAGTAAACTTAGCATGGGAAAAGTTTTACCATTTGTCTCCGTATCATCATTATTATCATCATCATCATCATCATCATTGTTTATCATAGTACTTTATAGTTAATAGTTTCTCATTATGTATTTGTTGAAGTAAGGAAATGAATGATTTATAGTTAAACCCTCTGAGTTAGAAGTCCTGTAAGTATTCTTCTGTTTAAGAATTATAGTAGTAGCATCTATAAGCTATATTGGAGAAAATTTGAAAAGTAGACCCTAGAGACAGTAAGGTGTGTGTATATGTGTATGTGTATATATATATATATATATATATATATATATATATATATATATATATATA